TGTATATGTATATATTATATATTATATGTATATATATAATATATACACATACATATACACCTCTCTGTGTGTGTGTATATATATATATATACATATATATATATATATATATATATATATATATGAAACATCCTTTCATAATATTTTGGAATATTCAAGCATTTATCAAGGTACCAACCAGGGTATGGTACCATTATAATATTTCCTCATAATAATTAGCTCATTTTACACAGGGGGAAAATATAATGGCCTGGAACGTCCACTTGGTACCTTCTTTGTCTGCTTTGTTATCTCTCATTTAGTACTAGGGAATTTATTTAGATGAAAAGTTTAGAGTTCAGTCATAATTGCTCTTGAGTCCCCAGTTAGGAAAATCCTTAACACTTGGGCAGAGGTTATACTCTCTGCCTAACCTTACATTTAAATCTAAATTAACCCCTGACTTCTTGCAGGTGAGGCAAAATTCAGTTTACTGGAAAAATTTGGGTAATGAAACATCATATCGTATTATAGTAACTGTGGATCAGCAGGCTTTGAGAAGAGAAGTTGGTCCAGAGCTCTTCTTTTCTCTGGATTTCCCTCAGCCAGAGTCCTCCTCTCTGAGATGCCTGTTGAACCAATAACTCTTCTCCATATTTTCTTTTTCTGGTATAGATTATTTCTTCCTTTGCACTATTTGCTCTGAGTCTCTTTCTCTTTTTGAGATAGCTGTTCCTCAAACAAGCTATCTCCCTGATGCTAAGACTTTGCTGGCAGTCTCCCATACCTGAAATGCTGCTCCTCCACCTCCTCTTCTGTCTCCCGGCTTGCCTGGCTTTTTTCAAATTTCAGCTAAAAGTCAAGAAGCCTTTTTCTCATATCCCTCAATGCTAGTGCTTCCCTTCTGAGATTACCTTCAAATCACCTGCATAGATAGATAGATAGATAGATAGATAGATAGATAGATAGATAGATAGATAGATAGATAGATAGATAGATAGATAGATAGATGGATGGATGGATGGATGGATGGATGGATAGATAGATAGAAAGAATGTATATAGTTGTTTGCATGTTGTTCCCATCATTAGAATGACAGCTCCATGAAAGCAAAATTTTGTATTTTTTTTTGGTATAGGCTTACACAGTGTCTCACCCTTAGTGAGTGCTCAGTAAATGCTTGTCTGGACTTCTTCCTTTCATACAAATTACTTAAGGAAGTCTCTGACACAATGGCTTTGATTGATTCAAGGAGGTCCTGCTCTGATTGTTTGATTCCATCAAAAAGTATTTTCACCTAATCAAGGAACCAGAGCCAAACAGCATGGTTTCCACCTTACCCTTATGTCATCTCCCTTCCCAAGTCAAATTAGAAGTTAATAGAGCAAGTCCTTAACTTTTAATTTAACTATTTTTATAATTAAAGGCCTTCATATTCCTTCTTTCCTATGGCAATAACATTCCATTACATTCATGTGCCACAGTTTGTAAAACAAATTTCCAAATCATAATCTCTGTTTCCAATTCTTTTCTACCGCAACAAGTGCCGCTAGCAATATTTTGATATGTGAAAGCTTTCCCTCAGCCACCTTGGAGTGTCAGAGCCTTGGTATTTCCAGATGAAAGGGTATGGACATTCTGGTCACTTTCTCAGCATAGGTCCAAACTGCTTTCTAGCATGGTGCTAGAAATTGCTTTCACCAGCTCCTCTGACAATATGTTTAGTGTTCCTGTCTTTTCCTAGACTCCTTAATAGCAACTATTTCTGTCTTTTGACATCTTCAGCAGAAGTGAAACTTCAGAGTTATTCTAATTTAAATTTTTCTAATTGGTGATTTGAAGCAACCTTTCATATGGTGTTAATACTTTGTTATTGTTCTTTGGGAATCCTAGGAAGATGTGTATGATTTGGGATAAAGTGAGCAGGAAGCTAGAAAACAACATACTACAGTAACGTAAATGGAAAATATAGTAAAATGACACTGAAAGCTGCCCCAAAGAAGAGCTAAGAAAATAGACCTCCTGCATCTCCCTTCCTGAATCCCAGAGGTGGGCGATTATGGCTGTGGAATATTGCAAATACCCACAGACTTGGTGGCTGATTGAATTGCTTGGCTTTTGCTGAATTGCATTTACCCACCTTTACGTCTTAATTTTTGTTTCACTGGGTAAAGTGGAGGGAAAGGAAGGAGAAATAATATGAGATAAAAAAAACAAAAACAAAACACGTTCATAAAAATGATTTTTTTAAAAAAGGAAGATAATATTTTTTAAATTTAAAAAGAGAGGACAATAAAAAAAATAGCTAGTCATCTTTACTAGATAGCTCAATAGTGTTAGTGTTCAATGCAATATCCAGTATATACAAGGCTTTGGATATGCAAAAAGAAATAGTCTTTGCCCTCCAGAAACTAACATTCTTGGGGAGAGGGTGGGGAGGTTAGGGAGGGGAGATATGGTGTAGACATTTACTTCTGGAAATGCAAAAGACAAGACTGAATGATGACGTTCAGAAATTTATCTGGAGGTGGGTGAATTCTTCAGGGAAGCCCTGACTTTTGCTTTTTGCTTGAATCTTGAAGTCTCCAAAAAAAAAAAAAGAGCGCCAAGTCTCGCTGCAATAGATTGACTAGATCTCAGGAAACCAACAGTATTATCGAGGTAGCGTGGCCGAGCGGTCTAAGGCGCTGGATTAAGGCTCCAGTCTCTTCGGGGGCGTGGGTTCGAATCCCACCGCTGCCAGAAATTGGATTTTTGGTTCTCCCTAGTACATTGAGCTTCAGCGCCACCTGCGGTCTAGGAGCAGAAGTTATCGGGGGTAGGAAGGCGAGGAAGGGCGGGTCCTCTCCAAGCACAGCGATATTGGTGGAGAAGAAAGGAGGAGGAAGAGAGACAAGGCGGGGAAAGGGGGAGGTGCCACGGTGCCACCTGCCGGTCCGGCGCGAAAGTACCAGCGAGGGAGTGGGGACAGCTCAGCTCGGCTCCGGGGCGGGGCATTGTGGGTAAGAGGAAGAGCCGGGGGAGGACCAAACTCCCCCCACGTGTCTGCTGGAGTTTTACCAGCAACATGGCTGCTGCCTGAGCGAGCCGGGCCCGCCGCCGCCGCCGCCCCTGCCGCCCTGCCGCCTGCGGGGATCGCCGCCGCCTCTTCCTCCTCCTCCTCCTCCTCCGGCTTCCTCCTGCTGCCCCTCCTCCTGCTCCTTACCATCCCCGCTGCTCCCCCTGCAGCCGCCCGCTCCCCGCCGTCCTCGGGCCAGGTGAGTGAGAGCTTCTCACTCGGGGGGCCGGGGGACATCCTCGGGGAGCGGCGCCGGTGCCGGAGGAGGCCCCGCGGCCATGCTCGGGGGCTAGGCCCGGCCCGGCCCGGAGGGGGCTCCCGCGGCTGCGCCCTGGAGGGCGGGCCTGAGGGGGGCCGGAGGGCCTGGGGTGTTTGGGGGAGCCGGGGCCCGGGCCCTTGCGGGCAGGGCGGGAGAAGGGCCGTCGGGCTGCCTCGGTGTGCCCGCGTGACTGTGCCCGGCTGTGGGGAGGCGGCCGGTGGCTCCTCGGCCACCCTCTGCACACTGGAGGTGGGGTCTCCTAGGGGCTGCTCGTTCTCTTTGACCCCAGACCCCGGGGCGTTCCTGCCCCCGAAGCGCGGAGGCTGCGGGCGGGGGTGCGGGGTCTGGGTGGCCTGTGGGGTGGCCCGCCCCCCTCCCTGCGGATGGAGTTTGGAGCTAGGGAAGCCGGCTTCGCCCATTGACCCAGCAGTGCCCGTGCCAGGCAGGGAATGGCAGAGGGCGGGGTGCCCCAGGGAACTCCAGGTGACCCGGCCGGCCCAGCCTCCCCTGGAGACACCTGCCTTTGAGAGAGGAGCTTCCTCGATCAGCTTCTCCGGTGTTTTCTCTCCATGGATGGTGACAGCTTGGAGGGGGCTGGGGCACGCTTGGCCAGCTGACCTGGGGAAGGAATGCCCTGGAAACGAAGTGAGTCAGAGTTGGGGACAAGTCAGCTTCCCCCTGTCCTGGGGGAGAAGCAGCGGAGCCCCCAGCATCTGGTAGGGTAGAGAAATGGAGGAGAAATCCCCCAGGGCAGCACCCCGGGACCCTGTCCGTGGTGGGCTCCTTCCCTTAGAGCTGAACCCAGGCAATCCCTGTCCTTTGCCCTGATGTCAGTTCTGCCATCTTACCATCCTTTTATTAAAGGATCAACTTGGAATCATGGACTCTTACATCTGGAAGTGGCCTTGGAATCTCTCTAGTCTGATTCCCCCATTTTATTGAAAAGGAAACAGAGACACAGAGAAGGGACCTGTCCAAAGTCATACAGCTCATTTGTGGCAGAACTCAGCTCTTGCTTCTTTCCGTTTGCCGTCATTATTTCCTTTTGAACCCTAGAAGTGGTGTAATTGATGCTCCCCATCTGTTCAGCAGGTCCAGGCTGGGTCTTTGGTGCACGGTGAGCACTATATTAACTTAGATTTCCTTATTTGTGGCTCCTCACTCCAAAGTACATGTACATATCCCCTCTTAATCTTCAAGAGCTGTATTTTGTCCAATCTCCGAAAATTAGTTCTCTGGGCCCATTTCACTTTTGATAATTACTTAAAAATATTTGCCTGGTTTTCAAATATGGAGTAATAGCAGAAACTCCCCATTCTTCACCCTCCATAGCAAGACTTTTAGGTTTCTAAGTGGTTGAGAGTCAGAGGAGACCAGGGCAAGATAAGCTGACCTCAACTCTGGCTCACTGGCTGTTATGAGAATAGCAGGAAGAAGGTCTACTTCCTTTCTTGAGATCTCAGCATCACTAAACCATGGCTTGCTCCAGCTTTGGTATCACGCTGTAAATTCTCCATTCATGGTAACTTAGAGTTGACTTGGTTTCATTGCCTGACTAGTCCAGGCCTAAAGCAAATGACTGGAGAGCCAGACTAGAAGGGCAATGGCCTGAGTGTGAATTTCTGTGAGTCACAGTGGATAGGATGCTCTGGGTTTTGTGGTTTTGTATTTTTTAATTATTCTTCATGTGTCTTTTTCTTTCAGTTGGTACTGACATTTGAGGGGGACCTGGTTGTTGGTGTACTGCTCCTGGGGCAAATCTACATCTGCCCATCTGGGCAGGTAGGTATGTGTTCTCCAGGCCTTCCTCTGTCTCTTTAAGATCCCTTTTGAGACAGTGTTCATGAAGCTGGAAGGGCCTGTTTCTTTTGAATAAGGGGAAAAGACTTTAGCTTAAGCTTTCCTGGCTAGGATGAGTGGAAAAGTGGTCACAGAGGTGGTGCATTGAGTTGACTATGCAGAAGAAAGGTAAAAACATCCAAATATAAACCCAGAAAGGGAAGAGCAGAGGGGGCAACATTATACCATTATACCTTCTTTCCTTTGGAGCAGTTTACTCCCTATAAAAGTGTGTGTAACATACAATTGTGCGCTTGATTTTATTTGGTTTTGTATTCTCCAGTTCATTCATTTCTTAAGTGCCAACTGTGGAGCTAAAAATAAAAAGACAAGGTCTCTGGCCTCAAGGAGCTTACACTCCTTTTTGTAGATGATGAGACCTACATGTACATATTTCAGTAAGCTGTGATTTTTTTCTGTGTGGGTGCTCCCTCTACCTCAGCAAATCTGTAACCCCTCTGGTTGATATGGCCAAAACGTTCGTCGTCATATGGTCACACTGATGATGCGCCTCTCAAAACTTAGTTAGCCTTCTTTAAACAACAGCAGCAGCAACAAACCCTCATAGTTTCTATTGATGCTTTTTCTTATCACAGCCATTTCCATGTATACCATCCTGTCCTTCCACCCAGTGTGAGCCTTCTCTTATAACATTTAAACAAAAAGATTAAATAAAACTGATACAGGACATGTATCTGACAGCATTCCCAACGTTCTGCTCCCCTAGTCTCCCAGTTTTCCAAAGGAAAAAGAGAGGTGCATTTCCTCGTTCTTATCCAACACCAAGATTGAAGGGGAAAAATAGTTCTGGCAAGACTAACCAATTTGTCAACCAAATATGACAGGAGATGAGGCTTCACACCCCACACCCATCCCCCCCCTGCAAAGAAGGTGGATAGCTTCATTCTCATCTGTTTCGGGGAATAAGGTTTGGTTATAATTTCATAGCATTCAAGTTTCAATAATTCTTTTACGTTGACATTGACATTTATTTCCTTGGTTCTATATTACTTTGCATTAGGTCCTATAAATATCCCCATATTTCTCTGTATTTATGTTGTTTATTATTTCTTCCAGCACAGTAATATACTATTACATTCATGTACTACACCTTGTTTTAGCTCTTTTTCAATGAAAGGTCATCTACTCTGTTTCCAGTTCTTTGCTACTGCAAAAAAAAAATGCATCTGTAAATATTTTGGTGGATATGAGAGCTATTTTTTTTTATCATTGATATCCTTGAAGTATATGTCTGGCAGTGAGATCTCTGGCAAAAGGTGTAGATAGTAATAGATTTTTATTGATAGCTTTCATTTTTACTTCATCAACTTTCCCCCTGCTTCTCTCCTCCCCACCCCCCCAGAGAACCATCTCTAATAACAAAGAATAAAGGAGAGGGTAGGGATGAGGAAGAGGAAGAAAAGGAAAAAAAGTTACCACATGAAAGACTCTTGACATTATATGTAGCTTTCCCTTATATTCTATTACATCAATGTATCATAATTTGTTTAATTACCACTTATTGATGGGCATTTACTTAGTTTCAGTTCTTTGCTGTCACAAAAAATGCTTCTAGAAATATTTTGGAATATATGGAACCTTTCTGTCAGTTACCTCCTTTGTTGTATGCTTAGGAGAGGATTCTCTGGGTCAGAGGGTTTTAGTCATTTTATTTGCATGATTCCAAATTGCTTGTTGGAATGGTTAAACCAATTCATAGCTCTGTCAGCAGTGTACTAGTGTGGCTGGATTTCTGCAGCTTCTCTCATTGCCTATTTTCATGTTTTGTCATCTTTGCTGATTTGCTGAGTATAATGTGAAATTTCAGGGTTGTTTTGATTTGTATTTCTCTTACTATTAGTAGTTCAGAGAATTCCTTAATATGGTGGCTGATGATTTGTAATTTTTCTTTTGAGAACAAGCAATTTATTAAATGCTTACTATGTACCAGTTACTGGAGATACAAATACAAAGAAAGAAACAATCTTGACTCTGAAGAGGAAACCACAAGTGAACACACATATATACAGTATAAATATAAAGAGAATAAATACAAAGTAGTTAAGTACAGGGTAGTTTGGGAGGGAGAATACTAATAGTTGAGAGGATCAGGAAAGACTTCATTTGGAAGTTGGTTCTTGAGGTTTGTTTTTTTCTTAAGGCAGTTGGGGTTAAGTGACTTGCCTAGGGTCACACAGCTAGTGTCAAGTGTTTGGCCTGAGGCCGCAGTTGAACTCAGGTCCTCCTGACTCCAGGGCCGGTGCTTTATCCACTGAGCCACCTACCTGCCCCCTTGAGTTGTATTTCAAGGAAGAGAGATTCTGTGAGGCAGAGAGAGGTGAAGAGCAAATGCATTCTAGGCCTGAAAAATGGCCAGTGTTTCCTGTATATCTACGATATTAGACCCTTATCAGAGAGATGATTTGAAGACTTTTTGAAGATGTTTCATGGGGTATAATCACTTTGTGTTGTCTTCCCTCCCATGTTTCTCTGAATTCATTGTATTTCTGATTTGGCCTAGTGCTGAACTATTCCATTGAATTCATATGCCACAGTATGTTCAAACATTCCCTAATTGATGCACACTCAGTTTTCTGTTAACACAAAAAGTACCATTATGAATATTTTGGTATATATATGATCTTACATTGTGGCTTTGGTATCCTTGGGCTATCATGCCTAGCAGTGGGCTTTTTTGCATCGAGTAGCTAGCTTGCATTGAGTAGCATCCGTGCTCACAGCTTGTCCAATGTGATAAGGCTAGAGTTTGTACCTAGCTGCCAAGGCCTTTAAAAATCAGGATGGTGTTCAGGGCATCCGAACAGGGCTTTAATAGAAATATTAAACTAAGACAAGTATGTTTTAGGGGGTTCAATGCTTTATGACATCAGATGAAGAGGAGATAATTTCCAACTAGGAAAGAATCAGATAAGACTTCAAGGAGAAGATGAAGCATTTGAGGTGGGCCTTGAAGGATAGGTGGAAGGTTTTTATGTGTGTACATCTTGTCTACTCTCCAATCCATCCTCAGTGCAACTGTCAAAGTGATAGTCCTCTTTTTAAAAATGTTGATATCTTTGAGGGTTTTTTTTACAGCGCTTTCATTTTCAAATATGTCCCTCTATTTCCCCTACCACCACCACCTGTGAGTTTGTAAGAGTAAAAAGAAAGGGGAAACAAGCAATTTAACTAAACTAAACAAAAGATCCACATCTGACAACATAGGCTTTCTTCTTTGGTTATTATGTTTACATAGCATTCGGTTTCATTTTATTATTTTCATTTATGTTGTAGTTACAATGTGTATTGCTTTCTGGTTCTGCTTTCTTCACCTTGCATCAATTCATATAAACCTTCCTATCTTCAGAATTTTTCACATTCATTGTTTCTTTTTTTTTTTTACAAGGCAGTTGGGGTTAAGTGACTTGCCCAGGGTCACACAGCTAATAAGTATCAAGTGTCTTTTGAACTCAGGTCCTCCTGGCTCCAGGACCAGTGCCCTATCCGCTGCTCCAACATTCATCATTTCTTATGGCACAGTTATATACCATGACATTTTTCTTGCATTGCTTAGACATTCTATACTTAGTGAGCCTCTACTTCTAGTGCTTTTGTTACCATAAAAAGTCCTGTTTATGAATATTTTGATGTGCATGGGACTTTTTTAATCCATCAAAGTAATCTTCCTAAAACACAGGTCGAATGTATGTGTATTCAAGAAATTCCTGTACCTCTCAATCACTTTTAGGATTAAATGGAATTAAACCCTCTGTTTACAGTTTAGATCCAGCCTACCTTTCTAGCTGTATTATATAGTCATGTGCTTCCTCATGCACAGTATTCCATCTCCAGTCTGTTCCTGTTCCTCACACGTGATGCCCTGTCTCCTGTCTTTGTACCTGTGCATAGTGTGTCATCTGTACCTAGAAGGCACTTACTCTTCATCTTACCTCTTAGTAGCCTTAGTTCCTTTAAAGCTCAGCTCAGGAGCTACCTCTTACATGAGACCTTTCCCTATCCGTGTCATTCCTCCCTGCCCTATTAGTGTGTATTTACCATGTATGTACTTTGTATTTACTTAACATAAATACGTGTGGTTTCTCTTGAAAGAGTGTAAACTTCTTGAGAGTAAGGACTGTTTCATTTTTGTGCCTGGCATATAGTAGGAGATTAATCAATGCTTGTTGGTTGATTGTTGTCTCCGTAGCTAGCATGTAAGATATTTAAGGGCAAAGATAATATCTCCCCATGTCCTCTCATCCTCCCAACACAGTTCTGACACGTAGCAGAGCTTCATAATCATTTATTGATTTGACTTGGTCAGGCCTGAGTGACTAGGAAGGAGTACTTGAGTTTTTCCTAAAACTAAACAATTTCCCTTTTTTTCAGTTTGTGCCTCCAGAAGGACTGGCTTTTGTTTGCCCATCCTAGTATGGCCAATGAAGAAAATGATCCAGTTGTACAGGAGGTAAATTGGACTTGGTGTATGGAGTATCCCTCCCTGCTTCTTGTAGGAGGTGAACCCCTCTATCACCATCATATGCATTTATTTGGTCTCTGAGTCCCCTGGATTGGTAAAGTCTTTTGTTATCTTTCTCTCTTCAGATTGATGTATACCTGGCCAAAAGCCTTGCAGAGAAGCTCTACCTATTTCAGGTAATTATAGGAATTGAAATTTTGAGAATTATATGGAGGAAGAAAGCCATAAAATATTGCCTTAAAATTGTGATCATACACCAGCCTTGAGTGTAATTTTTATGCTATTCAAAATACATGGTGCTTTGAAATCTTAGGCTCTTTTTGTTTCTGTATGGGGGTGACCAGGCTATTGTTCCCTCATTTTATAAAAGAAAATTGAGCCTTTGGGGTTGCCTACTAGGTCAGTGGCAGAACTTTAGTTAGAACTCAAAGACCCCACTCTCTTTGCTTGAGGTGGGCCAGCATCAGTGCTCAAGCATGGTGTGAGAGGTACAGCACACAGGAAGGTATAGGATTGGGGGTGGAGGTGGTACTGGATTGGATGGTTAAAGTGAAAGGTACCCTTGTGGGAAGCTGCTTCTTACTATCTCTTCTATTCCTTTCACTCTTCTTCCCCTTTTGGATTCCCAGTCTTCAGCCTATTATTTGGGATGGCTATAAGCCATGGTTTCAGGAAGTGACAGCTCAATTGTCTTGTTGTTTGAGTGAAGTTTTAGGAAATAACTCTTGTTTCCTCATCCTGGGATTTAGTTGTCCTAAGATGGCTTCTACCTTTGGCTCCATGTAGGGTAGTGTGTTTATCAGACTATAGGCTTTATAAGACCTCATCCAGACTGGAGAAACTAAGCAGTGAACTGAAAGCAGTGTTAGTTATTTCTTTGAATTAATGCATCTACTTTGATTCATTGTTCTACTTTATCCTCACAATAACTTTATGAGATAGGTAGGGTTAGTATCACCATTTTGCAAATTGAAAAAAAACAGACCCAGAGAGATTAAGTGTTATATCCAAGTGTTATACAGCTGGTTCATAGCATTGTCAAGGTGAGAACCCAGGTTTCCTGATATCTAGCCCAGTGCCTTTCCCCAAAACTAGACCCCTGTGGTTAAGAAAAGTTGGGAGAGGGGCAGCTAGGTGGTGCAGTGGATGGAGCACTAGCCCTGGATTCAGGAGGACCCGAGTTCAAATCCAGCCTCATCCACATAACACTTACTAGTTGTGTGACCCTGGGCAAGTCACTTAACCCCATTGCCTAACCAAAAACAAAACCAAAAAAAAAAAAGAAAAGAAAAGTTGGGAGGCATTCTGGGTTGGTTTATTTTATGCCAGCTGATTTGTGCCCTTTCATTTCTCTTCATGGTCTTCATTGTGAATCAGGGTAGTGTTCTGATCCTGCCATCATTGAAGTAGTGGCCACAAGGTCCCCAGGATATAAATAGCAGTTCTCTGGGGTCCAGGCCAGGGGCAGGTTTCGTACCTTGGTCATGCAGAAAACATTGTCTGGAAGAAAGTAAATGAAGTTGAAGAGAAGTAAGGCTTTGCACTAATGAAAGGATTCACTGTGTCACATCATACACCACTAGGACCTCCCAGATCATTGTAAAATAATTTACTTTTTTAATTTTCCCTGCTGAGATTCTAGATTGTGGTGGCTATGGGGGTGGGGTCATTAAAGACTTAGTAAGAGATAGTATTTACTCTTTTCTGTCTTGACTTTCCCTTTTCCTTAGTGCCACAAGGAGTTTCCTGTTCCCCCCAGCCCAAGTTTGTCAGCCTAATTTTAGGGTGGTGGTGGTGTTGGTGGTGGGTAGCAAGGAATGAAACTGGAGAGGTAGCTCACTGTTTCGTACTTTCCTTCTACAGTACCCTGTCCGCCCAGCCTCGATGACATATGATGACATCCCTCACCTGTCAGCCAAGATTAAACCAAAGCAACAAAAAGTAGGATTATGCCATTTGGTTATATTTTGGGAAGGTGGGGAGGAAATTGGAGAGGAGAGTGGAAGCTAAAGTTGGATGTAGAGTGAAGGTCCAGATTTGGGAGGAGAAGATTCAGGAGAGAAAGAAAAGGTAACCCCAGGGTAGGACCCTGACTTGGGGATTAGGGAGGGAGCGCATTAGCAAGAATCCTTAGCTCCTAATATTAGGGTCTCTAGGAGTTAATTCTCATGATGAAAGCTCAAGGTCTCCTTGGGTTCTTCAAGAAGGTTATTTCATCTTTCTGCCCAGTCTCAGCTTTACTAGAAAATGTGAATTGAATTGGTGGGACCAGACATTTGAGGAAAGGAAATAAATGACAGTAAAAGGAAGGCTGAATTTAGAGAGTATCTTAGGATGGAGCAAAATTTAGTCCCTCGTATGCACCAGGTGCTGTGCTATGTGCTTTGGGGTCACAGATAATTAAAATATGATCCCTAATTTCAAAAGAGCTTACAACCAAATAAATGTTGAAAGAGTTACTAATGAGTATAACACAAGGCAGAATGTACTAAGTACTATGGGAGTTCAACTGAAGAAGTTACTTCTGGGAAGGTGGAGACCACGGAAAGCTTCAGGAAGGAGAAAGTATTTGAATTGAGTCTTGAAAGCACAATCCCTGGCACATACTAGGTGTTATATAAATGTAAGCTATCATCATTATTATTATAATTATAAGTATTATTGAAATTGAGAGATGGGAAAGTGATGGGAAAGTGAATAGTTCAGTTTGGTTGGAGCATAGTTCTATGTATTAGCAAAGATTCTAGCTAGAGTGTAGAGGGTCTTTCATGCCAGGCTAAGGAGTTTGGACTTTGCCATTGGGGAGCCAATGAAGATTTTTGAGCATGGTGATAATGTAGTTAAATTTGTTAACAGTTCTATAAGAAGAGATGCCAGTTCTGAGTCTGAAGGAGGCAGGTTGTAAAGAGGTACTGAACTAGGGAGGCCAAGGGTAGATGATAGAAATAGAAGCAAGAGAACAGGATTATGGGATCCAGGGAAAGGAGGCAAAGCTGATGTCCACATTGGGAGATTGGCAGTGTGATATTCTCAAAGGGAGGAAGGTTAGGAAAAAGAGCCAGTTTGGAGGGAAAGATAATGTAAGTTGATAACAGAATCTGTGCTGCTCATTCCGCTTAGGGGGGTAAGACAAGACAGAAGAGGGGACGTTAAAGACACAGAAAATAAATAGAGGAGATTGTAGAGCAGCATCTTGGGTGTCAAGAGAGAGGCACAGTTTCAAGGAGGTATAATGGTTAGTGTTTGATGTTGTAGAGACAGCAAGAAGGAGGACTGAGAAAAGGGTCATTAGATTTGGCAAATAGTAGGCTGACTTTGAAGAGACTAGCTTCAGTAGAGGGGTTGGAGCTGAAGCTCTTTTGTAGGCATTTGTAAGTACACTCAGCTCATGTTGTCCATTACACCTTGCAAGATGTTCTTTCCTCCTGTTGAGGGGCCTGAGGTCTCTCTCTGCAGGTGTGCAGAAGGCTACTTGCTGTAATTCTTTTCTTAGTACCTTCAAAGATTCAAGAGACCCTGCCGGCTCTGAGTGTTTGTGTGCTGAGGGCCAAGTAGAGATAAGTCCAGTCCTGAAGTTGTAGGTAGGGCTCAAGTCTTCTGGTTCTGAGTGCAAGGAACAGGGGTAGAGGAAACCTGAGGCTGGGAAGGACTAATGGGAAAGTCACAGTCTGAGAGGTCATTTGTCCCCAGAGGGTTTTTACTATGTGAAAATAAGAAACTCCCTCTTCATCCTCTTCCCCAAAGGATGATGCAGCCACTCTTGGAACCATCTTATTAAAAATTAGGACTTTTAATTCCATGTAGATGGAAAAAAATTTTTTTTCTCTCCCATTTAAACTTTTTTTCCAGTTCCATTGCATACACAGTTTTTAACATAGATTTTTAAAAATTTCGAGCTCTAAACTTTCCCTCCCTCCCGTCCTTCCTTAAGAAGGCAATTTGATATAGATTATACATGTGCAGGCATGGAAAACATGTTTCCATATTAGCCATGTTGGGAAAGAAAATAGAGACCAAAAAAAAAAGTCAAGAAAAATAAAGCAAAAAAACAAGTGTGCTTCAATCTATATTCAGATTCCATCAGTTTTTTCTCTGGAGGTGGAGAGCATTTTTCATCATAAACTGTTCTCAGTGGTCTTGGATCATTTTATTGCTGAGAATAGCTAAGTCCCTCTCAGTTGATCATCATATAGTATTGCTGTTACTGTGCATAGTGTTTTCCTGGTTCTGTTCACTTCACTTTGCATCTGTTCATAGAAGTCTTCCTAGGTTTTTCTGAAACCATCTTGCTCATCATTTCTTATAGCACAATAGTATTTCATTACAATTCTGTACCACAGTTTCTTCAGCCATTTTCTAGTTGATGGGAATCCCTTTAATTTCCAATTCTTTGACACCACAAAAAGCTACTATAAATATTTTTGTACATATAGGTCCTTTCCCTTTTTTTTTTTTAAATTTCTTGGGGATACAGGCCTAGTAGTAGTATTGCTGGGTCAAAGGGTATTCAGTTTTATAGCCTTTTGGGCACAGTGCTTGGAACCATTCAAAGCCAAGAATGTTCTTACCTTGAAATGATTGCCTGCAGGTGGAGCTCGAAATGGCAATTGACACCATGAATCCCAACTACTGCCGAAGCAAAGGGGAGCAGATAGCGCTCAATGTGGACGGCACCTGCACAGATGACACGAGCACCTATTCCACGTGGGTCCTCTTGCTGCCCCAGGGGATTGCCCTCTACCCCTTTGGTTCCATGATTTTCCCGGGAGGCTGCTCTGAAGCTTCATGGGCTCCTTCAGATCTCTAGACCAAACATTTTCAGTGTAGGCTCCTTTTAGGTGGCCCACCTGCCTTCTGAACAATGCCCACCAAATCAGCATTTCATTTCTTAGTCCTGCCTCTGACACTTGGTAGCTGTGTAATCCAAGTCACTGAAGTCTTCCTTCTTCCCAGGATTGTTGTGAGGACCAAATAAGATAATGTATGTAAGATCCCAAACCTTAACATCGTATAAATGTCAGTAATTATGTTTGGCTACAAGACTGGATTCTGTAGGGATTGAGAAGGGGACAGGTCACTTCCTTATAGAGAATTCTCCTATCCTGAGCAAGGAAAGTTCTTGTCCTCCCTGCCTTTCCCATCTTCCACTCTTTAACCATAGGTTCCTGCTGTATTTCCAGGAAGTTGATGGACAAACAGACTTTCTGTTCTTCACAGACCACAAGCAACACCTCCCGCTATGCTGCCGCTCTCTACAGAAAAGGTAATTGGGGTTGGAAGCTGTTTCCTGAGCAGGGAATAGGGGGAAGGAGGGAACAAGTCTTTGTCCTGTAGGCAGAGGGGTTTACCCATCTGATCAGGTCCCATAAAAGCTTTTTGATTTGTATCTGGTCCAAATCTCTTTCAGAACTTTAGATATTAGCAAGATATGTCTGATTCTTCTCAAGAACTCTTTTCTAATTTGACTCCTTGTATAAAGAACATATATTTGCCCCTAAGTATAGGACTTTAAACTGCCTCTCTAAGGTTTACTGTGCTAATAAAAGAGAAATGAAGGGGTTGGAACCAGCTGATCTCCTAGGGTCCTTTCTGCTATAACATCTTGTGATTATGTGATCCTCTTAAGGACTCAGTTTTTTAAACCCACCTACAAGCAGACTCGTTCAACCAGTGCTTGTGGGTTGCACACATACCCTGTGACCATCCCTGCTCCTTGGACAGTCTGCCGTGAGAAGTCAGGGTCAGACCTGATATGAGAAGCCTTTTCTTAGCTCAGCCCTTGCTTGACTGAGCAGGGGAAAAAATGGGAATCTAGAACAGGTTAGTTCTAAGGGAAGGGAGTGGTCCAGGGATTGGAATCTGGGAAGTTGGCTTTTGCTTCCCCTTCAGTCAGTGCAGGGAGCTTGCTCTGCGTATCCTGTATGAGGTTCCCTAGACCTGAACTTGGGAGTGGTTTGGGGAGGAGGCCAGTCCCTAGAGAGCCCTGGGAGAGTCCCTCTTCCTCTGCCAGGCGAACTTCACTTGACTCCTCTGCACGGCATCCTGCAGCTGCGGCCCAGCTTCTCCTACCTGGATAAAGCCGACGCCAAGCACCGAGAGAGAGAGGCAGCCAATGAAGGTGAACAGGAGCTGATGATCTAATTTGTTTTGTTTTTAACCTGTCCTGCTAAATGTTGTAGTGACTTTGTATGGACCTGGAGTCAAGAAGACCTGAATTCAAGTAGGGTTTTAGACATTAGCTAGTTGTGTGACTCTAGGCAAGTCACTTAACCTGTCTACCTCAGTTTCTTCATCTGTAAAATGGGGATAATCATAGTACCTACTTCCCAGGATTGTTGTGAGGATCCAGTGAGATAATATTTGTAAAGCACTTTGTATACCTTAACGTGCTACACAAATATCATTATTATTAAGGATTGAAGTACTAATATTTGCTTTGGATTTAGGCCTGTCATTTAGCCTCCCCTGCCCCAGTACTGGCAGTGTCAGCCCATTGAAAATCATGGACGATTCTTTACCAGCGATTATAGCCTGGTGTCAAGAGCACTGAACCAAGCCAAGTGGCCTGAGTTCTGATTCTGGTACTGCCAATAATTTCATTCTGACCAAAGACTTCTTTGGTCCCCAGTTTCTTCATCTCCAAATTGCAGAGTGCCAGATCATCATTTCCCAAATGGTTTTGTGCAAAAGGAAGAGGAATTTCATGAGAATTTCGATAGCAGAGGTGTTTTCCCTTCTGAATGAAATGTATCAGAAATCCTTATTGTATGATGGTAACATTGCCTAGGACATTGCCTTGCCCTTAGTAGACATTTGGCAAATGCTCGGAAGACTGGATTAGCTCTTTAAGGTCCTTTCCAGCTCCTAATATTCTATGATTCTTCTTTTTGCAGCTGGGGACTCTTCTCAGGATGAAGCTGAAGAAGATGTCAAGCAAATCACGGTACTTGTGAGGCCTCAGGGCTGCTGGGACTTCCTTCTATAAGACTGTTGTGGACCCCTACAGGGCTCGGGCTCAGACTGGGGTGTACGAGATTGTAGCAGAATCAGGGAGAGGGTTGTGGGTCTGTAAAAAATGAAGTCCAACAGAAAGAATTTGGGACTGGAAGAAGACTTCTGACTTGCCGGGCCATCCAGAGTGAATCCCTTGATCTTTTTAAAAATCAGGGCTTCTTAACCTTTTCTGTGTCCTGGACTCTTCTGGCAGTCTGAAGCTTATGGACCCCTTCTCAGAAGAATGTTTTTAAATGCATTAAATAAAATTCAACGAAATAACAAAGGAAACAATTATGTTAAAGTACAGTTATCAAACTATCATGTTGAAAGTACAGTTATCAGGATTTTTTTTTTTAACCTAAGTTCATGGACCCCTCAGGTTAAGAATCCCTGCTCTAGTTTAACTTCAGTTATTTTCAGCTGTGAAAGGTGGGGCTAACAGTACCATGCTCTATCTGTGCCACATGGGTGAGATCCTGAGAGTAAATTGAGAGTAAGTTAGAGGAAAGGTCGGTCAGCAGTCCAGCATTGAGCTCCCAGCATGCAGGGCCGCATGACAGATGTTTATTGGTCTTTGTTACTTTGAGCTGTTTACTTTTCTCTAAACTTCACTTTGTATATATTTGGAAGGAGAATAATAATACTTCTGGTTCTGCTCACTTCGCTCAGCATCAGTTCAATAAGTCTGCCTCACAGGGCTGTCATGAGGACCAAAGGAGGCTTTGTGACTTCTCAGCACCATAGAAACGTGACTGCTTGTGTTATTGGGCGTGTGTTGGTATAATTTAAAAGATAGCCAGAGACATCTTTTCACAGGACTTGGACTTCTAGGGCTGGTAGAACCTTAGGCCTTAGCTAATTTAATCCTCTTGTGCAGATGAGAAAACTGATTTACCCACAGCCCCAGGCAAGGTGTAGTGTGAAAGTTGGGAGCTGAACAGGGTTCTTTGGACTTTCCCCTGCATAACACTGCCTCTGCCCTTAAGTTCATGGTCTTATTGAGGAGATATCTTCTATTAGATCATGTAGTTTACTGCATGTCTATATGTTTTGAAGAGAAAGGGTGGGCTGTGGTGGCTGATGAGAGAGTGGGCTAAGTTGTAAAATTTTCTGGGCAGAGATAGGCTTTGAATTGTAATATTAATAAGAACCCAGCAAGGAGAAGGAAGTTCTGCCATACATTTGGCAGTGGAAAAGCAAGTGGCGAACTGGTCTGTACAAGTCACTGAGAGATTTGTGCCAGGACTTACAGCTTTTGCAATGCACTCTTCCCTTCCCTATCACAGGTGCGTTTCTCTCGACCAGAGTCAGAGCAGGCTCGCCAGCGGCGGGTTCAGTCTTACGAATTTCTCCAGAAGAAGCATGCTGAAGAACCATGGGTACACCTACACTACTATGGCCTGCGGGTGAGGACTCTGCAGATGTTTGGGTAAAAGAGGGCTCCATGGAAAGGACCAAAGCTTATGATTAGAAGTGAGTCCAGGGCTCACCTGGCCAGCTGTGAGGGCGCTGCTTCCAGTCCAGTCCTTTGGTTTATGCTTTGACTGTCAGAAAACTGTCACTGATCTATGATGTGACTTAGTTTCTCCTACATAGGATTCTAGGGTGGGAATCACAGTATGTCTGGACAGTGAAAGGAGGGCTGAATTTGGTGTCAGAGCAGTGGGTGCAGATCCTGGCTCTGTCACTCATTACTACTGCAACCTTGGGAAAGTCATTTAACCCCTCTGAACTCCTCAGCCTCTTCATCTGTACAATTGAGGAGGTTGGACTACACATTTATTCTGTGATCCTGTGATTTTAGAGAAGATGTGTGATATAGGTGCTCTCTTGTATTGAAGAAGAGAGCAGTGGTTGTCGGTCTTTCAAAAATGGTCCACCAAGGTTTTGATCCACTTTTTTTTAAATTTTCTTTTTTTAATTAATTTATTTTTAGTTTTCAACAATCACTTCCATAAGCTTTTAAGTTTTAAATTTTTCTCTTCCTCCCTTCCCCAAGATGGTATACAATCTGATATTAGGCTCTACATATACATTCCTATTAAACATATTTTCACATTAGTGATGTTGTAAAGAAGAATTAGAACCAATAGGAGGAACCACAAGAAAGAGGAAACAAAACAAAACAGAAGAAAAAAAAGCAAATAGTATGCTTTGATCTGCTTTCCAACTCCATAGTTCTTTCTCTGGATGTGGATAGCATTTTCCATCATGAGACTTTTGGAGATGTCTTAGATCCTTGCATTGCTGAGAAGGGTTAAGTCTATCAAAGTTAGTCATCACACAGTGTGGCTATTACTGTGTACAATGTTCTCTTGGTCCTGCTCGTTTTACTCAGCGTCAGTCCATACAAGTCTTTCCAGGGTTGTTTTTTTGTTTGCTTTTTTTGTTTGTTTGTTTTTTTTGTGAGGCAATCAGGGTTAAGTGACTTGCCTAGGGTCACACAGCTAATAAGTGTCTAGTGTCTGAGGCGAGATTTCAACCCAGGCTCTACTGACTCCAAGGCTGGAGCTCTATCCATTGTGCCACCTAGCTGCCCCTTTAAAATTACCTTTTTACCGTTTTGGGTTTTTTTGGTTTTTTTTGTTTTTGCTAGGTAATGGGGTTAAGTGACTTGTCCAGGGTCACACAGCTAGTAAGTGTCAAGCCTCCAAGGCTGGATTTGAACTCAGAGCCTTCTGACCCCAGGGTTGGTGCTCTATCCCCTTGTGCCACCTACCTGCCCTTTCCAGGTTTTTCTGAAGTTGGCCTGCTTATCATTTCTTATAGCACAATACTATTCCATTATATTCATATACCACAACTTGTTCAGCCATTCCGCAATTGATGGACATCCTCTCAATTTCCAATTCTTTGCCACCACAAAAAGAGCTGCTATAAAAATATTTTTGTACATGTGGGTCCTTTTCCCATTTTTATGATCTCTTTGGGATACAGCCCTAGAAGTGGTATTGCTGGATCAAAGGGTATGCACATTTTTATAGCCCTTTGGGCATAGTTCCAAATTGCTCTCCAGAATGGTTGGATCATTTCACAACTCTACCAACAGTGTGTTAGTGTTCCAATTTTCCCACATTTTCTCCAACATTTATCATTTTCGTGTTTCGTCATGTTGGCCAACCTGATAGGTATGATATGGTACCTCAGAGTTGTTTTGATTTGCATTTGTCTAATCAATAGTGTTTTAGAGCATTTTTTCACATGACTATAGATAGCTTCAATTTCTTCCTCTGAAAACTGCCTGGTCATATCCTTTGACCATTAACAATTGGGGAATGACTTGTATTCTTATAAAAGTTCTGGGGACAGCTAGGTGGCACAGTGGATAGAGCATTGGTCCTGAAGTCAGGAGGACCTGAGTTCAAATCCGGGCTCAGACCAAACACTTGACACTTACTAGCTGTGTGACCCTGGGCAAGTCACTTAACCCCAATTGCCTAAAAAAAAATTTTTGACTCAGTTCTCTATATATTTGAGAAATGAGACCTTTGTTAGAGATACTCATTGGAAAAATTTTTTCCCAGTTTTCTGCTTCTCTCCTAATCTTGGTTGCATTGGCTTTATTTGTGTAAAAAACTTTTCAATTTAGTGTAATCAAAGTTATCTATTTTGCATTTCATAATGTTCTCTCTCGTTTGGTCATAAATTCTGTTCTCCATAAATCTGACAGGGTAAACTATTCCTTGCTCTCTCTTTTTGCTTATAGTATCAACCTTTATATCAAAATCGTATACCCATTTTGACTTTATTTTGGTATGTGGTGTAAGATGTTGGTCTGTGCCTGGTTTAAATGGAGTAATTTTAGAGCATGAGATATTTCATTGGAGAGACAGGTTAGGAGAATGAGTGAATGATAAAACTTTTCTTAAGTGTTTACCAGGGGATTTATTTCCTGGAGATTCAAAAATAAAAGCAAGTACTTCATCTCCAACACATCCAGGGGAGTAATTGCTAGGGAGGGGCACTTTTTTCTGTGAAGTTACAGAGATGGTAGTTGGGTCTTTAGGGAAGTTGACTGGCACACCATCCAGGAATGAGGACAGAATTGATTTGATCGTGGTCTCTGGCTCCAGAATTGGAGAAGGGCAAGGGGAGAACTTGGGAAGGAAAAGGTACAGCCACAAGACTGAGCTGTCTGGAGAGTAGGAAGTAAGAGTGAAGTATGGTGGCTTAGGCTTTCCTCAAATACTGGGCCAAATCAGAATGGTTTGAGGCCCTATGGCAGAAATTCCTGCATGGTGGCAAGACTGATGAGTGAATGAAGAAGCACTTATTAAGTGTTCATGTGCAAAAAACATGGTGCTGCATACTAGGGTGACTGTAGAACAGGAAAAGGACTTTGTCTGGGTCTCCTGGCTACTTGGGTATGCGTGTGGAGAGGAAAGGAGGTACCATCATGCCCTTTCTAGAAAGTACAGGTAGATTTTGGGAGCGATATATCAATATGGTGACCCATCTTCATATCATATATGCTTTGTGAACCTCTAGTGTAGACAGAGGTCTGACAATGTGGGGGCTTTCATGGTCTCTTAGTGACTTCAAGAATTGTAAACAGAATCTCAGGCTCAGACCTCGTGGAGTGTCCTCATCCCCACCCCACTTCCTCAAAAAAATAAATTCTGGGCCAGGAAGTCTTAACTTGGATCTTCTCCAGGGATCTATTAAGGCTTAGCCTGTCTGTTGTGTTCTCCAGGACAGCCGATCTGAGCATGAGCGCCAGTATCTTCTGTGCCAAGGCCCTGGGATCTCAGAGAACACAGAGCTCATCAAATCTCCAAGGTGAGAACCCTGTCTACGGGAGTGAAAAGGGAGTAAGTCAGGCTGACACGTGGGAAAAAGTTCTAGCTCTGACCTCCTATGGTAAAGCCTCCCCAGGAGACACGTCCTGTGAGGGCAGCGTCTCTCTGTACTCCTGCCACCATGGATTTTTACAGGGCAGGCAGGGTATGTGGTCTCTTCCTGGCCATGGGACGGGGAAGCTCTGGTGGCTCATGTTTTAGACAGTCTGGTTGTTACATTTTACCATGGGTCCTGATTTTGTGCCTTGGATGGCAAACCCTCTTGTGTTTTTATGGTTTGGGAGGGAAGAAAGGAGAGGGAAACCCTTGAAGTCATTTCTCACTGTCTGTGATTTCCTGTTCACAGCGAGTACTTGATGATGTTAATGCCTCCGAACATCGAGGAAGAGAAGTGAGTACCCCTGTGCCTGAACTGTAGTTCTGATGCAGCATGACCTGTGATATATCAGGGCTGCCCGTGGCTCTGCATATCTCTAAAAGCTGCTGTTATTTCCCCCTTAGAGAAAAACCTATGGCTCCCAGCAACGTCCTGTCGATGGCGCAGCTGAGGACTCTGCCTTTGGCAGATCAGATTAAGATACTGATGAAGAATGGTTCGTGCCCTCCTACCACCCTCTTTCTGACCCCCGCCCCCACAGCCTGGGAGGTTATGCCTGTATTTTGTTGTTCTTCCTCACCATCCTGTTCCTTGCCCATGCTTGTTCCCAACTCTGGGCCCCTGAGGAGTCATCAAAACACATACGGTCTGTCTGATTTTTGGGTCCCTGACACCGGACTCCATAGGCCCTGAAAACCAAAAGACCTGGAAGAGCCTGAGCTGTCTGGGCTGGCTCATTATCGGTGAATGTGGACTCTGGGGATTGTGTAGGAGGCCTTCACAGGTGCTGGAAACTTTCTGGTCTAAGACCCAGAGAGAGGCAGCCTGGAAGATCTAGACTCAAGTCCCTTGCGTGATGCTCTGGCTGGTTCCTTTTTGGCTTGATGAACTTGTGTTGGTAGATCAGGGTCCATAGACATAAAGCCTTCCCTTTGGGTTTCCATTTTGGAGAACTGTGCTTTATCCAGGGTTCCTGGCTGGGTGCTTTATGGAACCCTTTGTCTTCTTGTCTCAGTGAAGGTCATGCCTTTTGCCAACCTGATGAGCCTGCTGGGCTTAGGGACGGACTCAACGTCTGTTCTGCGCTGCATCCAGCAGGTGGCGATGCTGGTGCAGGGAAACTGGGTTGTGAAGAGGTATGTTTGTTCATTTAACAAGTGTGTATTTATGTTGTGTCCTCTTGGGCCATACAGTGATGTGATATAGACCCTTTCCACGATGGGGTTCAGAGGAAGAGGCGAGAATAACTATCTGAGATTAGGGCCTGCGATGCTGGTAACCTGTGCTATTAGGAAGTGAATTACCCTGAGCTGTTGAGCAAGGTCCAGAGGTCTGCCAAGTATCCAGCAGTCCTAGGGCTTGAGAGTCCCATAGGAGATGAAGGGGTGGTGGGAAGAGAAATCTCAGTTCTGCCTGCTCACCTGGTGAGCAAGTAAATAGTTTCCAAACCGGGATGAGGTGCCAGGGGCTGGCCAAGATGTAGTGAAGAGGATGTTGTCCTATCTCAGATGGGGTGGTCTGGAGCTAGATGAACACGGCTATTTGCTGGTCCTGGTTTCAGGCATCCCCTTGCCTTGGCTTCCTGTGACATCTGCTACCGTTTGGTTTCTCGTTGGCAGTGACATCCTGTACCCAAAGGACAGCTCCAGTCCTCACAGTGGGGTGCCTGCAGAAGTACTCTGCAGGGGTCGGGACTTTGTTGTAAGTAAGGAAGGGGAAGATTTGCAAAGAGAGCTGATGTGGAGCCTCTCTTGGAAGAGCTGCGTTTCTCTTGTGCACTGCCCCTAGGCTAGAGAGAGCAAACCTATATTTCAAGTTCACTGTCCTCTACCTGTATGGTCCTCTCTAATCCTGGAACTTCCTTCCCTGGCCTTTACTTCATTTATTCTGAGCCCCATTTTTATTCTAAAGCAGGAATTCTTTTTTTTTTTAGGCAATTGGGGTTAAGTGACTTGCCTAGGGTCACACAGCTAGTGAGTGTCTGAGGCCAGATTTGAACTCAGGTCCTCCTGACTCCAGGGCTGGTGCTCAATCCACTGTGCCATCCTTGCTGCCCCTTAGAGCAGGAATTCTTAACTTTTTTTTGTGTTAGGGACCCCTTTGGCAGTCTGGCAAAGCCTTGGGACACAAAAGAAACCAATTACATTGAAATATAGTTACCAAATTGCTCACCACATTCATGAACCTAAGGTTATGAATCCCTGTAGTAGAGAAATTCATACTGATGGATTGATCCATATAGTACTCTCCCTTCTCCCCCACCTCGTACTAAAAAAGTATATTTGACTTTATATAGCAATTTATAGTGGTGCTTTACCTACTTTATCTTGCTTGATTTCCCCTACAAACCTTTGACTTGATTACGTGGGTATTGCCCCATTTTATAGATGTGGCAACTGTGGCTTCAAGAAGTTAAGTCACTGGTCCAGGGTTGCATAGAGAGTAAGTGACAGAGCTGAGACTTCACCTCAGGTTTCTGCTTCTGTCCATCATACTTTTTGCCCTCACACACTGTTTCACCCAGGATATGGATTGGTTTAACTTGGGACTCACTCTCAAGCAGGCTGAAGCAGGGCTTTGGGTTGGTAGCAAGTGGAGAGGCGGGAATGAATAGGCAGGGAGAAAGGAATGTGGGAGTTAAAAGACGGGCCTTATTTGTGCCTTTTAAGAATGCTGCTTGCCTGTAAAGTTACCTACTCTATGTTCAGCCCCTTCTGGAATTCTCATTAAAGAAGAATTCTGGGGTGGGATGGGGGTGGTGCAGGGTGAGTTACTGATCTGGATGCAAGTACTCTTAGGTGGAGTTTGGGGTTGAGGGGAGTGGTGATGGAAGGGGAGATGGGAGAGCCTGTCCCTGGCTTCCCACCCTTACACTCCCAGCCACCGTAAGGACACCTCTTGTCGGTATCAGTGATATGGAGAGCTCAGGGTGATACAGATCTGAAAGAAAGCTTCTGGTAGTTGGGGATGCTGTGGGCTGAGTTTTTACTATGGTTTCTAGAAGACTTTCTGGCACCCATTCTCCAAAGAAGACCAGAAGCATGCCTCCCTCTCCTCCTCGAGGGCTCTCTGTGCAGCCCTCTGGGTATTGGAGAGCTGTGTTTTTGTCTCTGCTTGGTAGCCTTCCCAGAGCTTGTAGGACATATGGAAATGGTTGTCTTTCTTTTCCCCAGATGTGGAAGTTCACACAGAGCCGCTGGGTAGTAAGGAAAGAGGTGGCAACGGTTACAAAAGTAAGTGTTTGTTTCCTAAGCCACCGCATCCCGCCCCCCCAGATTTGGGCCCAAGCAGTGGGAGAAAGAAAGAAGGGGAGCACTAGGCTAGGCAGGTAACCAGAGATCTGATTATTCCCTCCCACTAAGGAGGCAAGTAGAGATGACCCCACCTTGGGTCAGCTGCCCATGGAACTAGTGACAGGGTAGCTGAGATGGTAGTCATCATAAGACTCATGGACTTTGTGTGTGGTTTAAAGTTTGTAAAGCACTTGATATGCATTATCACATAATCTTCACAATGTTATGATAATGATTATCCCTAATTTGCAAGTTAGGAAACTTAGGGAACTTAAGCATTTGTTCAGGGTCACACAGCTAATAAATGTCTGGTGGGTCTTATCTCACTCACTTCATTTACCTCATGCTTCTTTTCGTCTTGGTCAGCCTGTTCCTTTTTTTAATTTTGCTAGGCAATGGGGTTAAGTGACTTGCCCAAGGTCATACAGCCAGTAAGTGTTATGTGTCTGAGCCCGTCAGCCTGTTCTTGAGGCCCTCCCTTAAGGCTGTTAGAGCAATTTGGGGAAAGAGAGGGGGAATCAGTATGGTTTAGTCAGGGAAAAGGACCAGCTAACAAAAGACTTCAGGGATCTAAGGTAGTGGGCTGATTAAGCCCATCCAGAGGCTAAATCTGGTATCGCAGCTTTTCTCCAAATCCGTTGTCCCTTTGGGTCCCAGCTCTGTGCAGAGGACGTGAAGGACTTTCTGGAGCACATGGCTGTGGTGAGGATCAATAAGGGCTGGGAGTTCTTGCTCCCATACGATGAGGACTTCATCAAAAAGCATCCAGACGTCGTCCAGCGGCAGCACATGCTGTGGATGGGCATCCAGGCTAAGTAAGGGTGGTGGTGATGCTGGGGGTGGGGGGGCACCAGTAAAATGTGCAGGAATGCATCCACACCCTCCTCCCTGCTCAAGGAAAACCTACTGATCTCTGCTGCTCAAGTGACAGCTGCATGGTCCAGGGGCAGGATAAGCTATTTGTGTACCTAAAGGTCCAGACCTTGTATTTGCCCATAATGGTGATGTTAGAGGAGATATTGGCTGAGGGGTGAGGGAGCGGGGAACTTGAAAGCTAAGCCCTGGCTTTTGGAGAGAACTAAAGGGAATGGATTGGGGAACCAGGGGTTGGAAGTTGGGGGGAAGATGGGCAGAGAATGAGGAGGAAGGTGTAGGGCAGAGGACCGAGGGAGAAGGCAAGCAGGAGAGGCTGACATGAGTGGCCCAAGAGATTTTGAGGGGGTGGGGAGGGTGGTTGGGACACTATTGTTGGAAGTTAGAGGCTTTTTTCTGTATAACTTGAGGAATTTATTAGGAGTCTGAGGGTCATAGCACGTCTGCTTAAGAGATAAGAAAAGCTTTAAGCAAGAAGGTCTTTTTTAATCTGGTGCTTTTTTCCCATTTCAGGTTAGAAAAAGTCTATAGTCTTCTAAAAGAGACCGTGCCAAAGACTGCAGAAGGACAATCAGGTTTGTTTGGAGGAGACAGAGACAGGGATCTGGGCTGAGACTGTGAGGTTGTGGACTGGTTTGGGAGGAGGGTTGTGGAAGAGGAAATTCCCAAAGGCCTTTGTTCCTGAGGCTTGATGCTACATGGGCAGTGCTTGGGGAAGGTTTTGACCTGCACTTTTCTCCTGCTTTTTTTCTCTTGTCCCTTCTGCCTCCTCTGGGAGGGGAATCTGAATCTCTTGGCTGCTAGCCTAGGTTCAGCATGAAAATTGAGTTGAGGGTCTGGCCAGAAGCCAGGGCCCAGATCCCAGTACACCGAGAAAGCTTGGCATGTGAATAGTGAAATAGATCAGTACCCTCTCTCCTGCCTTCCTTTAGAGGGGTTGGCCAGGATGGTGTCGGCAGGCTATCCTGTGGACACAGTACAGTGCAAGTGGCATTCAGGATTGTAGATGCAGAACTGGAAGGGGCTTCAGACGCCACCTTAGTCCCATTACAGATGAGGGCACTGAGGCCTAGGAGGTCAAGTATCTCCCAGGTCACACAAGTAGGAATTTGAACTTCGGTCCTCCCACTCCTCTCCCCACAACTTGGGAACTGTGTTTTGTTTTGTTTTGTTTTTTCCCGTCGCTGTAGCTGGCAGCAGCTAGCTTACACTGGCTTAAGTGGCAGAGGCCCTTGTCGCTGTGAAGGCTAAGAAGGGCTGGACACATCCGACCTCCAGCCCTGGCTCTCTCTCACTGAGTATTTATTTCCTGGGAGTTTGTAGAATTCCTCTGGGTCTAAGTTTATTCCTATTTGGGAAATGGTGAGAAATGACCCTTCCTTTGTACTACATTCAAGCTGTCTATCCCCTCAGCTTTCTCCCCTGCAGCCAGCTTTCGCTCTGGGACAGTTTTTTCGAATGAATTTGTAATTGAGACAGAAGGGCTCAGCTTTTGGGCCTTGAAGTGCTCATCTCCTGAGACAAGGGATTCCTCATTCTGAGCAGCTCCCTATCTGTTCTTGTAGTGCCTGTTATGCTCGTCTCTGGGGATCAGCGGGTCCAAGCAGCCAAGGCCAAGGCCCAACAGAACCACCTGCTGCTGGAACGGGAATTGCAGTGGAAGAAGGAGCAGCTGCAGGCAATGCAGGCCTCATCTGGCATGCGCATCAAAGAGGAGCCAGTGAGTGAAGAGGAGGAGGAGGAGGAAGAAGAGCAAGGTGACAAGGAGGAAGAGCCCATGGATACCTCCACCTGTGGCAGCCTCAGAAACAAGTTGGCCAATGGGCTCCCTGCTGGGCGAGCCGTAGGTGGTGACACCCTCAATGGGCACCCCCCAGCGGGCTGTGGGGAAGCACCCATGGCTCGGGAACTGAGGGCCTTTGTGGAGGCCACCTTTCAGAGGCAATTTGTGCTCACTCTAAGCGAACTGAAGCGCCTCTTCAACATGCACTTGGCCAGCCTGCCCCCTGGGCACACACTGTTCAGTGGCATTTCAGACAGGATGCTTCAAGACACAGTGCTGGCTGCTGGCTGCAAACAGATTTTGGTGCCTGTAAGTAACACTCCACAGTGGGGAGCAGGGGGCAGTGGGTGTTACCATTTAGGAGGGAGCCTTTTTTTAGGCATGTATCTTGAGGAGAAGCAGCTGGGGCCTGTATATCCAAGTGATATGCTGGCTGTCTGGTAGTTTTTGACCCTACTTTTCTGCTGGCCCCATATTTGTGAGTGGCCTAGAACATGGACTCTGTTGGGCAGAAGGAGAGATGTTGGAGAAGTTGGTGTGGAGAGCCTGCCTGCCACCTAGACATGAAGAGTGGCAATTCCAGCTGGTGCTGTGAATGATGGGGGACTCTTAGGCCTCCACTGAACCACCCTACTCGGGCCCTGAAGTAGCCCCCAGCATCCCATTGTTCCACTAGAAGTCTCATGGGGGGCTGCCCTGGCCAGGTAAAGTCAGCACCTCACCAGCCTACAGCACTCTTTCCGAGATCCTGTGGTAGGCTGTCGTTGCTTCCCACGGGCTAAGCTAACCAACACAAACCCATTTGTTTTTTCATGACTGGCTAAGTTTAGGGTATTTGAAGATTGGAATTAACCATGGCTCTCCCATTTCAATAGCAATTTCTTCAGATGATTCTGTGAAATTGGTGTTTTATAGATATAGTAACCTGATTCAAGATTATCCAGCTACTAAGTGTCAGGGATGTCACCCACACTCAGGGTTTCCACGGTCACCATGACTTCAGCAGTTGCTCCACTGTACCAGGCTGCCTCTGTCATCTTACCAGGGCTTCAGTCTGATTGGCTGGCTACGGCCTCCACATTGATTGGAAAATAGGAATAACTACTTATCTTTGGATTATTCTATTTTTGGATGTTCATCCACCAAAATGATGATGATGATGATGAATGATGATGATGATGATGATGATGACAGTAATACATCCGCAGGGGAAAGATGAGGCTGGGAAACTTTTTTATCCCCTGAATTTTTAAAAGTCAACTGGGTGACAGTGGATAGGGCACTGGGTTTGGAGACAGGAAAACCTGAGTTCAAATCTGGCCTCAGACACTTAGCTATGTGATGGAGTCATTTAACCTCTATTTACCTCAGTTTCATCAGCTGTAAAATGGGGATAGTAATGGCATCTACTTCTCAGGGTTGCTGTGAGGATTAAGTGAGATAATATTTGTAAAGTGCTTAAAACTGTGCCTGGCACACACATATTTGTAATATGTGCTATATATAAATATACTATATAAATGCTGTTATCATCATCATTATTATTTCCCCTTGGTCAAAAAAATCTTTCTTTGATTCAAGATGAGTATCCCAGGAAGGAGAATTGAGAATGAGGCAACGAGACTTCTATTTACAAGCACACTAGTTGGGGACTGTGCTTTGTGGATGAGTGTGGGCCCTGGTCTTCTGGACAGGCTGCCTTTCTCCTGCTTGCTCCTGTCTCCCCATCCAACTGGTATAGGTGGAGGTGGGGTAAAGTAGGGCTGTGGCTTTGACATCATTGGAGATGCTGGTGCCAAGGTTAGGCAGATCTCAAGTGTCGAGTAATGCTGTAGTTGTAAAGACTCAAGCCTATGTATGTGAGGGCTGAAAATTGGAACAATGGTCTGCAAAGATTTTGTCTCTGCCAACCTCAGAGGCCTGGCCTTCACTGGGCAGTCACAAAGGGACTATGTCAGCTCCTTCAGCTATTCTCTGGACTCTCTGGCAGAGAGCCAGGACCCAATGCTCCTTAAGTGAGGCATAGGGGAAGCCTCATGTTTGGGAGATGAATACTGGGGCTCAAGAGAGATGTCTACACTTCTTACCTGTTCCTAAGAGAGCACTTGAGGTTCCTTGTGGTCACTTCCTCTCCTTGCCAGCTGGATTGGGGGCAGGGACATTCTCTTGTTCCCTTTTTTTTCTCTGTAGAGAATGAATGGCTTTGTCAGGGAAGTAGGGAAATGAGTCCCTGTGTCAAATCATTTCCTGTTAAGAAGCTCACAGTTTAGAAAGAGACAACATACAGTTTTATGCAAACAAGAAGATAAAGACAGAATAAATGGGAGATAATCAAGATAGGGAAGGCTTCTTGTGGAAGGTTGAGCGTCTCTTTAGTTGAGACTCCAGTTGAGCTTAGCAAGAGTTGGAGATGAAGGAAGGAGAGTGATCCAGGCCTGGGCAAGGCCAGCAAAAGTGAATGGCCTAGTTAGTTGTAATATTCTGTTCGGGAAACAGCAAGGAGGCCAGTGCAACTGGATTGCAGAGAGAGGAATGAGGTGTGAGAAGATTGGAAAGGTAGGAAGGGGCCAGGTCGCAAAGAGCTTTAAAAGCCAGACGAGATTTTATATTTGATCCCGGAAGTCATAGAGAGCCATTGGAGTTTATTAAATAGAGGGGTGAAATGGTCAGACCCATACTTGAGGAAAATCAAACACAGTTCAAGCCCAGCTCACTTGTGTATCGTGATTAGTTTCCCCCACAGACTGCTGCTTCTCCTGATGAGCAGAAGGTGTTTGCACTCTGGGAGTCTGGAGACATGAGTGATCAGGTAAAGGGACCTCTCAGGCCCTTTTCACTATTGCTAGCCTGTTGCACTAGCAGCTAGGTGGAAAGAGGGTTTCTTTTTGGCCAAATTCTTGAGTGGGGTAGGGGTGGGAGAGAGGGACATGGGAGGGTGTCTACCCTTTAGCCACAGTTGGCCCCAGTAGGTGGAGGGAAAGGGGAAGGGCTGAACATACCTAAGGTTGTCCAGATGTACTTCACTTTCAGAAAATACAGACTTTAAAAAACATTCCTGGGCATGCATGGTGACTATTTGCATTACAAAGGAGTTATTTGTTTAGAAAAGGATTCACCACAGTTTTTGAGTTTTCAACAGTTGGCATTTTCATAACCATGAAGGTCATAAGGTCCATGAGTTTACCCATAAGTCATAAGTTTATCTTAGTGCTTTGAAAATAGGCTTAGACAAAACTGCTTTTTTGTGAACTGCTCTGACTGTTGCAGGAGCCCTGCTGAAGTGTGTAGCTGTGTTCCCCCCAATGTTTTCTTCCACGTCTCTCTTAGGAGGGGGAATTTAAAAGAATACATTGGCCTCTTTATGTGTCGTTGGTGGAGGCAGCATGATAAAGGGGACAAAGTACTGGGCTTGGAATCAGGGAGAACTGGATTAAAATCCGATCTCTAACCTTAATATCTGTGACTCTGGGCAGGTCATTTAACTTCTCTGTATCTCAGCCAACTCCCCAGGACTTAAGTCATAGATCAGTTGTGATCTGTGTAGATTATTCCTGTATTCTAGTAAGTTTTATCGATGCCCTTTGCTTTTACTCTGTACTGAATTCCTGATGTGTCCTCCTTTCTCTTGCCCTCTGAACCCATCCTTATAACAACAACAACAACAAAAGGAAAGCCAGCCAGTACAGCTGCTGTTAGTGTATGCAGTACATTTAGCATCTGTAGCCCCCATTTCACTACCAAGAAGAGTGGCCTCTTTTTATTTTTTTAAAAAAACATTTTTAGTTTTCAACGTTCACTTTTATAAGATTTTGAGTTCTAAATTTTCCCCCTTCCTCCCAGACAACCTGATATAGGCTATACAGGTGCAATCATATTTCACCTATTTCCACATTAAGAGTGACTTCTCTTTGTAAAGCAGACCTAAGTGACATGGGCTAGAAATGGCATTGATAGGAGGTACTTTGGCTGTCTCCCCGGCCTAAAGCAGAGCTGAAAGCCAAGTGCAGGTCTCCCAGAGAGATCAAGTGGGCTTCAGGCCAGAGAGAACTTAGCTATATTTCCCATCCCCCTTCAGAAGGAGGGCAGGAAGGACAACTTCCTGTGGAAGTGCTTCATCATCGTCTTCTGAACTCTTAGCTCATCGTGCCTCACATCCATGTCTATGAATTTCTTGTTTGGAAATTATTTTCCTTTCTCCAGAGTGAGCATTACAAATGATTGTGTTTTTGGTGCCACTTAAGCATCGACAGGTTTTACTTGAAATATTTTCCAAAAATTACCGGGTGCGTCGGAATCTGATCCAGACTCGACTAAATCAAGAATGTGGAGAAGACCTCAGCAAGCAGGAGGTGGATAAAGTGTTAAAGGTAATAGCCCACTTAGGGGCGCATCAGATAAAAAGGTCCTTCCTTCAGGCAGGGGGGTATAAATTACAAAATGGACTGTTTTGAAAAGTGCTAGTTGTGGAATTGAAGGACCTGTGTTTGATTTCCAGCAGTGCTGTTTACCGTCTGTATGACCACATTCAAGGGAAGTGAAATGATGTGCCCTCAGGGTCATACAGCTGCATTAGGAGCCTTATTAGGCTCATAGACTTAGAGGTAAACTCGGTCAACTCCTTCATTTGATAGATTAGAGCAGTGAAGCTGAAAGGGTTGCCCAAAGTTATGCAGGTATTCTAAGTTGACATTTTGAACCCAGGTCCTCTGAACACTGCTCTCTCTTAGCAGGCAGAGCTGGGGTTAGAATTTAGTTCTCCTGACTCCCAGTCCAGAGTTCTATCATATCAGTTAACCCTTTTGAGAAAAACATGCTTTACCTAGTAATTTAGGTTTTTTAAAAATCATAGCATTCCTCAGAAGCATTGAAGTACAAAAAAACCCAAGTGTACTTTTCACATAGTCTTTTCTCCCTACAGTATCCCTGTACAGTTAGAATAGTCTTCATTTTGCTTTTTCTATTTCATAAATGAAGAAACTTTAGGCTGCCTGGTAAAGAGATTTGTCAGCATGTCCATGTTGGGACTAGAACCCAGGTCTCCTGACTCCTAGCTGTTCATTAACTTCTACTGTTTAAGTATTTATTGGTGGCATCATTTAGGACATCATGAATGTGGCTGAGTGAAGTTCATTGTAGTAATTTCTCACATCTAATTTTTTCCCCTCCCCTGTTCCCAGGACTGCTGTGTAAGCTATGGAGGCATGTGGTACCTTAAGGGAACAGTGCAGTCCTGACAGTCATAGTGAACTGCGTAACCCCACAGATGTAGGCCAGAGGATGGATACCACAGTGAGCAGAGATGGAAGTAACACCTTGACTTGCTTCAGGGAACATGGGGCAGGATCTGATCTTCACGTGGCCATGGGGCATTGCACAAGCCAGCTACAGAGGTCGTCACGTTCAGTTTGCATGGCCGGCTGGAGGCAGGAGTGCTCCCAGGAGAGATCAGCCAGGATCCTCTTCCAGTGTCATTTGGAATTCCTAATGTATTTTGCTTCTCATTTGGTTCCATTCTAATAATAAAAAGAGTATATACTGATACAGGCGAGATGGAAAAAAAAAATCATGGTTTAATATTTTATTTTGTAATTCAATGCCAACCAAGTTAAAAGTTCTGTTTACAAGATGAGAAAAGCTTGAGGTTTTTAATATTTAAAATGCCTAGAAGCTGATGCTCAGTCTTAGATTTTCTGTCCATAAAAGCATCTGCCAGTTCCATTAAACAAGCCAAATTGCAGTATAACACTGTTGGGTTTTTATAGCCATTTAAAAATTTTAAACAATGTTACTACCTTATGTAGCAACTTTCTCTTAATTGTTTACATAAAACAGCAGATAGAAAGAACAGACTTATGACTTAAATTTATATATTCTTTTAACCTGTTTGCATATCTATGCAAATAAAGGTAAGTCCTGGACAATATGTAAGTGTAGTTATCACAACTTGTGATGTACAGATTTCTATTTTGTGTATTTTAAAAATAAATGCTAACACAAACTCTTGGCATCATTTGGGTGCCACATCTTTTTAAGACAAAAGAAAAGCAATGTAACCAGCTCTTAAAGCAGTTGCACAAAAAGTGGAGAAAGCTCCTTAAATAGAAAGGAAAATGAGATTTTTATTATAATGTCAAAACTAGATGTATCCAAGCTCTGATGAACAGGTTCTTTATAGAGGCATTACCAGTTCAATGTAGCCAATAGCTAGACCACATGAGATGCTGGGAAATCAACCTTTTTGCCTGCATATAGGAAAGTACTCAATTGCCCGTCTGCCTTGTATGAAATCTGAGGGCATCCTTTGTTCACCCTCTTGATACCAGCTACTTAGGTTGGAAAGCTTTGGAAACTATGTTGAAATTCATTAGTTTTCAGTAAAGGATCACACCTCCCTTCAATGGGTGGCCAGCACTGCCTATTGAGTTAGTTATGAGACAATCAGAATCTTAGAATCTCAGTCTCAGACTTGGGTCCAGACTCTGGAGAGTATTTTAGTCAACCTCTATCTGAACAGGTATCCTTTTCACAGCATTCCCACCAGTCTTCTGCTAAAGACTTCTGGTGATGAGAACCCCTTCCCCTTTTAGTTAGTTCTTTTTCTAGAGGTAAAGTGTTTTTTAGTTTGTAAAAATACAGGTGATCATATTTTGTTAAAATCAAAAGACCAAGATGAGAGATGGAGTTATAAAACTTTTAAAATATCAGTGAACTAATTTGTTTAAACTACAACTAATAATAAAGTCCTTTAAGGACAGCCTCTGAAAAGAATACCCTGACTTTTGCTATGAGGAGGCTTCCTGCTAGCTGAGAAACTTATGCCATGATTGGATATAAGTGTGCAACTGGATCTAAATGTGGGAAAGTATCTCTGTGGCTTCCAAAAGACGCACATTTGAATGCAATGGATGATAGTGGGTGACTCGGGAAGATGGAGAAGAGAATGATAGTGGGTGACAAAAAGCCAGTGATGATAAAAATAAAACATTTGAATTGAAAGAAATGTAAGTCTTAAAATATCTTATTTAAGTTTTTCACTATATAGCCTCTCTTTCTTTTAAAGCGATCGTATTTTAGGTGGGTAATCTATATATTTGGGCAAATACATGAAAGATACGTAACATTTAGCTTGGTTTATCTCCAAAAAAAGTTACCTAATGGATTATATATATTGGTCAACAAGGCAAAGTATCTCTTCTTGGTTTAGATAGGGATCTGACTATGTAGCTTAGTAGACAGTAAGTACCAGGTTAATGGTTCCAACTTTTTAATCACCCATCAAAGATCATGAGAATAGATCTATAGAAAAAAGTTTATTAGGTTATCTAATACATTAGTCACATATATCCATCCCATTTCCCACTGGGGTCAGTGAAAGGCACATACCTCAGATTTTGTCTTGTCAACTTTTTACACAATATACATGATCCTGAAATGTTCCATCCATACATATGTGTGTGTGCATATATGTATGTATGTATGTCCCAATTTCTTGATTAGATCTAAATTTTATTTTGTTTTTTCTGAAAGTGAAGGCACATGATTACCTTATTTTGGGTTCCTCTGGTGCTGTTTTTAAGTTTGGGACCGAGGAGTGTCCATGACCAAAGGTAGTTCTGTTTGTTTAAAAAAGTTCCGTTTTCTCTACCTTTTGAGCAGCAATGTGGCACTGGGGAAAGGGGAGGGGAAAACACACTCATTGGTTGATATTTTAGTTAATCAGCAAGCACTTAGTAGTTACTTATGTGCCAAGTACTGTTTGGAGTGCTAAGGATGTAATTATGAAGCTGAGATCCTTGGTCTCTGGAGCTTGGCTTGCCATTGGGCTTGCCAGTAGGCCTAAAGTATCAATTCCCTTATTTGTCAAATGTGTGTGTGGGTGTGGGATTGAACTAGGCTTCCAAGATCCTGTCCAGCTCTACTGTTTAACGAGCTTCCACAGTTTCTACTTGTATGCTGGTGGGGTTTTAGGCAAAGAAAGGCAAATGGTAGTGTTCGTCACAGTGAAGTATGAGCAACCTACAGAACAACTTGATCTTCAGGGCAATTTTAAGTATTCTCATTTTCAAGCCATCTTAAGAAATAGAATAAAAAGTACAGTGGCGAAGTACAGTAGCGGAGGTAAAATGTTAAGCTTAACTCCCAGGGATAAGGGGATTTTCCACATCCGTCAGATGAGGTGAGCCTTTCTAGTGCTAAGTAGTGATGCTACTTATATTTGCATATTACATCTTGCATCTGCAACAATGCAAAGTGCCAAATAACTGAGCATTTGTCTCTGCTAAATAAATGGTGGTTTAAACTTTGTTTCAAAGTAGCTGTGCAGTTCTTAATTCCTTATGAATTCTTCATGAACATAATTTGCCATTTATTGAAGGGGGAGAAATAGATCTGGGCAGTGGAGCATCTTGAAGTTTGGTATGAGTGACAGACTTGTTGGTTCATTTCCACAGATAACTTTATTTTCAGAAAGATATTTACAGCAGCTCAGAACTCCAGTTCTTTTAAATAGTCTTAATTTATAAGAACGTAGATAAGTCATGTGTAGATACACTTCCACGCTGGTAGAAACAAATACTGTTTAATAAGGAAAGAGACAGGAAGTAATTTTTTACAACTTCTACAATGAGTGAGAAATATTGACAAAAATTCTAGGAATTGAGCAAGAGCTTATTTGGCCAGCCAGCCAACAAACCCCTATCAAGACAGAATATACATAATAAACAAGTAGCTTCTACAAAAGAAAACCTTGGTCCTGACTCAAGCCTTAAGAACAATCCCCATGCTCCTCCTCCCCCCTCCTCCCATATTTCCTTTCCAAATGAGTTCTGAAAAACCTGCTCTTGAAAAGAGGTAGGTTATAAGAACAAGTATGAGGATAACTATTTCTCCACATCTATAGCACACAGAGTGTGCTTTGTGAAAAACTTGCCCTCCTTTGGTTCTTTCTGAGTGGTGATGAGTAACTTGCCTTTTAACGGTTAAAGCCAACTCTTAATACCAGATGCAATCAAATTAGGAAATACAGTCTGCCCTATTACAAATTACATTACCAAATGGCCTACTCTTTGGTACATTTTCCATACATAATTCATGGCATTTTAAAAATCATGTATGTACCCTATACACATTTTAGGACAGCTGTCTCAAACACTGACTTTGACCTGGTTTTCAGTGATCACACTAAGCTACCTTGACCGTGTGGCTGAGAATGACTTGCCTACTTTGAGTGCTAGTGTTTCCAGACCCCACCCTCCCACCACAAGTACACATAACCCTTCTACACATACCCTGTTCAGCTTTTTGGAATATAAACTCCATTCAATCCCATGTACCAGCCCCTGTTCTGCAGACAGCAGGCTGGTTTTGTCATAGCTGCCGACCCTAATGGCTACTCTGCTTCCTCTCCTTGCTCCATATATTTTCGGGGTCAGCAAAGAGGGAGACTTCACTTGCCACATTTACAGCGGCCACTGCATAACGTGGACCAACTATAAACCGTGGCTTGAAGTGGAGAGATGAGAAAAAAAGGTACAACAGCAAGAGCTAGAGTCCCACAAAGAGGTTAGCTAAGAACGTGGTGAGCGAGACTGATATTTTGTTCTTTGTTCGTCTATCTCTTGCTTAGTTTTCTTGATGCAACTAAAGATCTCCTTGAAGAGGGCTTTGTATTCTGGAGGAGGGGTGGTAGAACTACTTGAGTCTGGAATGATGCTGGCCAGTTCCTGGCTGCTGGGGACCGGCTCAGCTTCCGTGCTCCTCAAGTTCGAGGCTGGGGCGGGACCCCTACAAGTCTGCACAGCCTTGTGTTTCAGGGAATCCTCCTCCTGCTGGCACTTCTTTAACAGCTCTTCATATTTGACCTTCAGAGCTCTGTACTGGGTGTCTACTTCATGTAACAGGGAAATTCCTCTCTGCTTCATGGCCTCCGTTTTCCTGATGCAAGTCTCTTCGTGGCCCTTAACGATGTCACTCCCAGCCAGACTACTCAGGATTATCTCACTGCTGCTGCGTTTGAGAGGCTTTTTGCTCAGCTCTGGCCCAGCTAGGAATATTTCCTCAAGCAGGGTCTGGCTGGGTTCTTTGACAGAAAGGAACAATGAATCTGGCACCAGCTTCTCAACACCATTCACAAAGGGATGTTCTGTCTGTAGCATCTGCCGCATTTCTGCCACCTCTGCCTCCAGCTCCAGGGCCCTTGCTCGGTAGACATCTGAGGCTCCCAGCTGCTGTTCCAGGTCACAGTTCTCCTTCAGTACCATCCCATACTCCTCCTCCATAGTCATTCTCTTCTTCCGCTCCAGGCTCAGCTGGGCCTGCAACATTGTGACCGTCTTTTTCAAGTTCTCATTTTCTTCTTCGTCAGGTGTTTGCTGGTTATGCATAGAGGTTATCTTCTCAGCAAATATGTGATCATACACAAAGTGCCTGGGGGGGAGAGGGAAACAATGCACAGAAATTAATTAGGATTTTGTCTCCAAAACCATCAATGGCTACAGTGAAGCTGCATGAGATTAGTGAGCAAATCAATACTCAAGTCTTTTAATCATAATTATCTCAAAGGTGAAGGGCAGTATGTTAACTTATAGGGGAATTAAGCGCCAAATATTCCCCATTGTCACTTTCCTCTGCTCATTACAAGGTTGCTTATTCATAAGCAGCTAGGTGGCACAGGGGTTGGATGCTGGGCTTGGAATCAGGAAGACCTAAGTTCAAATCCAGCCTCAAACACTTCCTAGCTGTGGAACCCGGGATAAGTCATTTAATGTCTGCTAGCCTCAGTTTCCTCAACTGTAAGGCAGGGAAAATAAAAGCACCTTCCCCCCCAGGGTTTTGAGGTTCAAATGAGATAATACTTGTAAAGCACAGTGCTGAATAAATGCTTATTTCCTTATCCAAAGGCTAGGGTAACAGTCTCTTACTGAAGTTAAAACCGACTTAACTGTAGACATAGGGTGAGTGATATAAGCCTAGAAGAGGGGTCTGAAAAAAGTGCTTCAATGATGGGTAAGATCCCTCCCTAAGAAAGAGGCAACCTGAGACTAATGAGGAGAGAACAGACCTGGCAGCCTTCAACGGCCTTAGGAAAGAACAAAGAAGGCTCAGATGAGACAGGCTTTATCAATTGTCCTACATAGCCAGAGATTGGTGTGGACTGAAAGAAGCTGTGGACAGCCTTAGACAAGACTCCTCAGAGCTGGACTATGGCTCCTTGGAGAACCCAGATACCCAAAACCCTCCCCCCAAAAGAACCCTGTAAGAATTAAGGTAACACCTCAGAGAATTAAAGTACTGGCACTTCCCTAATGGTTCAGTCTCACAAACATCCCTGGAGTGCTTCAGTAATCACATCCGCCAATTCTTTCTGTATGTTGGGGTATGTAGTTCATGTGGGCTTGATGATTAGAAACCATAAAGGGTGGCAGTTTGCCAGTATTAGACTCCTTCCCAAAATAAAAGTCATTTTCTCTGGCAGAGAAAAGCAAAGTAAGAGTTGATTGGCTGAACTTTTCCCATTGTTCCATGATGATCCCATCCACCCCTATGCAGCAGCCCTGTTCTTTTTTTTTTTTAATTTTATTAATTTATTTTGATTTACCAACAATCACTTCCATATGCTTTTGAGTTAAAAGTTTTTCTCCCTCTTCCTCCCCCCCACCCTCCCCAAGATAGCGCACAATTTGATATAGGCTTTACATTTACATACCCATTAAACATATTTTCACATTAGTGAAGTTGTAAGTAAAAATTAAAACCAATAGAAGGAACCATCAGAAAGATGAAACAAAACTCAACAGAAGGTAAAAATAAGTGATAGTGATTCAACTTCCATAGTTCTTAGTCATTGCATAACGTGGCTGTTATTGTGTACAAAGTCCTCTTGGTTCAGCTCACTTCACTCAGCATCAGATCATATAAGCCTTTCCAGGTTTTTCTGAAGTCAGCCTATTCATCATTTCTTACAGCGCAATAGTATTCCATTACATTCATGTACCACAACTTGCTCAGCCATTCCCCAATTGATGGGCATCCTCTCAATTTCCAATTCTTTGCCACCACAAAAAGAGCTGCTATGAATATTTTTGTACATGTGGGTCCTTTTCCCATTTGTTTGATCTCTTTGGGATATAGCCCTAGAAGTGCTATTGCTGGATCAAAGGGTATGCACATTTTTGTAGCCCTTTGGGCATAGTTCCAAATTGTTCTCCAAAATGGTCGGATCATTTCACAACTCCACCAGCAATGTATTAGTGTTCCAATTTTCCCACATCTTCTCCAACATTTATCATTTTCCTGTTTTGTCATGTTGGCCAATCTGATAGGTGTGATGTGGTACCTCAGAGTTGTTTTGATTTGCATTTCTCTAATCAATAACGATTTAGAGCATTTTTTCATATGACTATAGATGGCTTTAATTTCTTCATCTGAGAACTGTCTGTTCATATCCTTTGACCATTTATCAATTGGGGAATGGCTTGTGTTCTTATAAATTTGTCTTAATTCTCTATATATTTTAGAAATGAGGCCTTTATCAGAGAGACTGGTTGTAAAAATTCTTTCCCAATTTTCTACCTTCCTTCTAATCTTAGTTGCATTGGCTTTGTTTGTGCAAAAACTTTTCAATTTAATGTAATCAAAATTATCCATTTTGCTTTTCATAATGTTCTCTATCTCCTGTTTGGTCATGAATTCTTCTGTTCTCCATAGATCTGATAGGTAAACTATTCCTTGTTCTCCCAGTTTACTTATGGTATCAGCCTTTATATCTAAGTCCTGAACCCATTTTGACTTTATTTTGGTATATGGTGTGAGATTTGGGTCTATGCCTAGTTTCTGCCATACTCTTTTCCAGTTTTCCCAGCAGTTTTTTTTCAAAGAGTGGGTTCTTATCCCAGAAGCTGGGGTCTTTGGGTTTATCAAATAATAGATTACTGTAGTCATTGACTACTGTGTCTTGCATATTTAACCTATTCCACTGATCCACTTCTTTATTTCTTAGCCAGTACCAAGCAGTTTTGATGATTGCTGCTTTATAACAGAATTTAAGATCTGGAATTGCCAGGCCACCTTCCCCTGCATTTCCTTTCATTAGTTCCTTTGATATTCTGGACCTTTTGTTTTTCCAAATGAATCTTGTTATTATTTTTTCTAACTCTATAAAATAATTTCTTGGTAGTTAGTTTGATTGGTATGGCACTGAATAAGTAAATTAGCTTAGGTAGGATTCTCATTTTCATTATATTAGCTCGGCCTACCCGTGAGCAACTGACGTTTTTCCAATTATTTAGATCTGATTTTATTTGTGTGAAAAGT